TGGACAAGAAGCCCGAGATGATGACTTTCACCTGCACGTCCTCAGATTCATCCAGGCACCCCCTTCTCTCCATGTACCTCACAGCAGCCGTGGCCACGCTCAATATCTCAGCAGATCCTGTACCTACTAACGCATCACCCCAAGGCAAAGCCTCAAAAGTCAGTCAAAAGCAGGGCTCCATGACCTGTTATCTTTCAAAACCACCTTAGGTGTCAGTAATAAATCTTGCACCGTTCTGAAGAGGTAAATCAAAGCTGTGGCCATCACCAGCAAAAATGGCTTTTCATTATTGCTATTTCTACCACCAGTGTTCAGATGGCACAGCTCAGAGCTGCTGAAACTGTAAACAACAACAGAACATCTTTACTGCTTGATAACAAGAAGCAACTTACCTTCATCAAAATAAATCTCAGCAGATTTCAACACCCTCGGAAAGAGCTAGAGAGGATAAAAAAGAAAAAGAAACCTGAGTGGGATGACATTTTATTTATATCTTTTATTTATGTCTCCTTTTTAAAAATAGGCATCTCACACCCTAAATTCAGGCAAAATCTGCATTGCAACAGTTGAGGAAATTTGTTACCTGCTTAGCAATTTTTAATGCAATTCCAAAAAACTTTAAGCCAAACTCTGGACTAAAGGCTTGGCTGCAGATTTCCTATCCGCTCTACCACTTCTGTGGCCCATTTAAAGAACCAAATGATGAAAAGTGTTTTTGTTTTTAATACCCATGGCATAATAAATTTTAAAAGATATTTTCCCTCTTCAGGAAAAATAGGGCTTCATTTCCACAACTTACAAATATAACTGAACCCCTCACCCCACTCTCCATGTCAGAATCTGACCTTCAAAAAAGGTATGTGTGCCAGATATAGTCAAAGTAGTGCTGTGTATACTATATAGTGTTTTTTAAAGTTATTTATTTATGCAGACAGAGCTGGGGTACAGGACAGAGATGCAGAGGGTGAGAGGATTCACCAGAGACAGAGTGGGGAGCAGAAGAGGCCGACAGATGAAGTGCACTCATGAGGGGAGCAGTGGGGAGACAGGAAAGGTCTGTCGCGTCATGTGGGTCACCTCCGGGGTGGGGATCGAACTTGCACTGAAGCTGTCACAGCTAGCTTTGCATTGCTGTGCTGTAATTCATTGAACCCCATCGATATTTTAAAAACCCTTTATAGGTCTCACATTTGTAAAATAATCCTATAGAGTAGACTTCCTGGGGAAAGTGATCTTGCTCAATTTACAGGTAAGGAATACTTTGCCAGTCAGTGAAATAATGATCATCTCCACCTCTCAAATAAGGATGACATCACCCTAGAAATGTTAAGTGACTCCCCAAATTCACTATTCTCCTAGAAAGTCACTGACATCCAGGCCCTCTGCCTTCCTGCAAAAGTCCTTTTTGGGACATTAAGTTGTCATCTGTGTCCAACCACGCTAACTTGGCTTAATTATGTCCTTTCTGCTTTTCATAAATTTTAATTAGCATGAAAACAGTGAGTGGACTAGTATGCGATTAGATGTTAAGCAGCTTAGGTGATCACAAGAGCTACAAAATGAAGTAACTGGCATTTACATGGCAAGTACTATACTTCTCAATGATTTTCCCCCAAAATATTGAATATCTTGGTCTGGAAATGGGGAGGAGGGGATGCTGGTGAGAGGCGCTTGAACAGGACTGTGGGAAGTGGGAGTAGCTAAGGGTACAAAGCTCAGGCCCCTCTGCAATCTGATTTCTTACGTGATACTTCCCATTCCCCACCCTCACTGAGGACAAGGTCTGCAAACACTGACCCACCAGCAACACTGACAGACTTGACACAAAAATGTTGTGAAAAAATATTATAAATTCAAAATGCACTTAAAGTCATTCCATCCAAAGCCACTCTGTGGAAGATGTGTAAGCTAATATTTCAAGACAAATGACTGGAGAACTGTCTCTCTCCTAGGAGAAAATTACAAGATCCCAGAAGGGGCCAGTCAGTGTCTGTCTATCTGTCTGTCTCTCTGTCTCTGTCTCTGTCTCTGTCTCTCCCTCTCCTCTCCTCTCTCTCTCTCTCTCTCTCTCTCTCTCTCTCTCTCTCTCTCTC